TCCAAACGAGTCGTTTGTTGTAGTTTTAAAAAAAGTGATTTCTGTTGAATAAAATATCTCCTTTTGAAGTGGACTTTGAGTTTTGTAACTTTGCAGATCTTTTTTATGCTCAAACAGCAACATTACAGACTAACTAAAGCTGAAAAAGTGAAAAAGCGTAATAGGACCCCTTTAATTCCACTTCCTTATATCCAAATTTAAATTCTGCATCCTGTTTGTTACATCAAGTCAAATTCAGAGACTGGTTTGAAATTTAAACCACTTCAGATAAACTCAAGTCAGAAATGTTGGTTTCTTTAAAACATAGTATTTTTTGGAAATGATTAAAGATTATTAAGACTTAAGTTTAAAAATCTCCCATTACATTTGCACATTTGCATGATGTGTTGTGAGTAGTCATGCATTTCTTTGCACTGAAAGCGATGTGTGTGTGTTTTGGTTCCCTGTAATCACTCACTGCTGTTTCATTCAGGAAATGGAAATGTAGTTTCTCTCTCCTGATTTCTCCTTCCTGTCTGGCTGATTTATTGTGAATCTGAGATCTACGGATGCAGGAGCAAATCAGGCAGTATGAGAGCCGTAGATGAGGAAACGCATGTGTGTGCATCCATTAGTGTGAACGAACGGATATACAGCAGCTTCCTGTGAGGGACAGTTCGATTATCTCAAGGAAACCATCATGGGACGTCCTGTGTGCTATCAGGAAAGAAAATCACACGTGAGATATTGTGTGTGTGTGTGTGTGTGTGTGTGTGTGTGTGTGTGTGTCATACTGCGGTTATGGGGCGAGAGGATGAACGGTCTCAGACACTACTTCATATACAGTATGTGTGGTGTGTCTGATCTACAGGACTGCCGGTTCAGTTCTGGTCAGTCTGACGACTGGAATCAGCTCATGCCACTGCAGGATAATGGTGAAATCAGAAATTAAGAAGAACATGCAAGTGCACTGCAAATAATCACTTCTTAAGTTTTTAATAAGTCTTTAATGCCTTGTTTCCCAGTTAAAACATCTACATTTCAATAAATTTTCTTGAGAAGCCACAATCCATGAGATATTAAGTATTTTCAGAGGATGCATCTTTAATACTCTATGTATGTTTTGCATGTTAATGTTTTTTATTTTTAGTAATATTTTGAACTAGTTTTTATGTTTCCATTTTAATTTTAAATGTAGGTAAAAAAAAATGTGTTTGTGTGTGTGTGTGTGTGTGTGTATATATATATATTTGTTTATTTTAGTTTTACTATTAATTATTTTAGTACAATATAAATTAAGTTAAATTTTTTTTACATTTTGATTTATTTAAGTTCATGTTTATTTTGTTTAAAGTAACAAAAATGTTTTTTAATGGTTTTTAGTTTTAGTTAACTACAATAACCCTGCTTCATCAGCAAAATATTTCACTAGTTTTAAGTATAAACAAGTGTAAAAATCTGCCAGTGCAGCAAGACAAAATATAGGCTTACTTATATTCGCAATAAAATAGATGAAAATAACTCATTATTTTTTGTTAGATATTTTAACTGGGGGAAAAAAATAAGAATATGATTTTTTTGCAGTGTGTGTGATAAACCTTGACTAAATAAACTATAAACTATACAATTAATAGTTTGTTTTTCAAAAGTCCAGTATTGCTGTTGTGTTTTGGATGCTGATATACTAGTCTTTACTGTCTTAACCAGGTAAATCAGAAAGATCTTGTTGACCAAATCTCATGTGTATTCACTAGTTAGACTGACTCTAACCAGCATAAACCATGATGGAAATCCATGTTTTGTGTTAATGCACACATTAAACTCACTGAACGTAAAGATCCTGAACCTGAAGGCCCGTTTTGTCCCACTGGAAAACTGTTTGTGTCCCGTACGGAGAAAGATTCCCGTCCCTCGTGTTCTCAGCAGTGCTCAGAGACGGCTCTCCTCCATATCGACGTGGGTGTTTTGTTCGGGGTCGATAATCTATAATTAGAGCTGTAGTCTTGTCATCTAATCCACTGGACAGAGGCCGTTAGCAGGACCGGAGGACTGGAGAAAAATCACTAAGATTATAGAGCAAATAGAGACTTCTGAGAAAATGAGCCCAAGTAAAGATCTTCAATCTTCTGGGCATATGTCAGAGTTTAATTTCTCTCCCGCGGAATAACAATAAAGCAAAAAGCCATGACAGAAAGGCCTTGTTTTACATTGATTTTTATCATGTTTAATGTGTGCTGTCAGGCATGACATGAAGTTATTAATAACTAGAAAATGTGTGATGTGGATGTTGTGGGCATTGCTGTGTGTTGCTAAGATGATCTGGGTGGTTGCTAGGTCATTGCTAGGTATAGTTCTGTGTGACTATAAGTAGTTTCTTACTGTCTCTTTGATGTTCTGGTTGTCTAGTCAGTGTTTAATGTGTATATGTGACCCTGGAGCACAAAAGCAGTCTGAAGTCGCTGGGGTATATTTGTAGCAATAGCCAACAATACATTGTATGGGTCAAAATTATAGATTTTTCTTTTATGCCAAAAATCATTAGGATATTAAGTAAAGACCAAGTTCCATTAAAGATTTTGTAAATGTCCTACCGTGAATATATCAAAACTTAATTTTTGATTAGTAATATGCATTGCTAAGAACTTCATTTGGACAACTTTAAAGGCGATTTTCTCAATATTTAGATTTTTTTGCACCCTCAGATTGCAGATTTTCAAATAGTTGTATCTCAGCCAAATATTGTCCTATCCTAACAAACCATACATCAATGGAAAGCTTATTTATTCAGCTTTTTTTTATTCAGATGATGTATAAAACTCAGTTTTGAAAAATCGACCCTTATGACTGGTTTTGTGCTCCAGGGTCACGTATATTATTTTTGGTTTATTTTTTATTATTTTTTTATATATATTTTTTATATAATAAATATATTATTATTTTTTTTTTTTTTATATTTATACATTTTATATATAATTTTTTATTACTATTTTATTTAGTTTTCATGGTTTTAGTTAACAATAACCCTGATTCTAGTTAACAAAATCGGCATTCAATTATTAATGCACATCTAACACCTACAGTAGTCTTCTTGGACAAACACCTTTGATATGATCCCTACACTGAAAAGTTTGCCTGGCAACAAAGACAGAGAAAAGAGATTTAATTCCCACACAAACGCTCTGATTGGCTGTTCCGTTGAATGTCCCAAAACCCTGTCTCTCATCTTCCTCTCTATTGTGTTCCTCTGTATCTGCGTGTGTTAGTGCTTGCTTTTGCTTGTTCTTTATCTAATCACCAGCTAATTAATCCTCGTTAAACACAGAACAGTCCAAGCTCATGTTCCGCCTTGATATTCATTAGGAGAAAGTGCTGACAAAGATGTTTGTGAGCGTGAAAATAGAACTAAAGAGGCAGAAAACTCTGAGTCGATGAGCTTTAGCTTTGCACACGTGGCCAGCAGAGCATTATATTTCGTCCGCTCGTACGTTAAGTCCAATTACACTTTACATGCCCGCTGGGAAGGATTACTGCACCGTGTCCGTCCACAGACTCTTTCTCCTGCTCTTTACTGACTGAAATGATGTTGCTGTGAAAACAGAGAAATCAAGACGCAAGAGTGTCATTTATCAGTGCAGTGTCATCACTATCAATCACTGTTACTAAACCTGTGTGAATATTACTTTTTACCTTTCCATGAACCATAACATGACCTCGCAGAGAAAATGAGATTCTTCTATTATCATGATGTTAAAGTGAAGAACAAGTGAGCCTGTACTAGAGAAAGATTTTCTAACCAAAATACTTAAAATGCATGAAAATAATGCATGGAAGTCAAATTAATCATTTTGCTACAATATTACTTTTTTCTTGTTTTATTATATGTAATATATATGTGTGTATTTATTTATTATGTTTTTTATTTTTTATTTATTAAGCAAAACCTTAGAATACATACTGAGGAACATGAAATCTATATATATATCAATTATTTTATATGTTATTTTTTATGTTTATACGTGTGTATGTGTGCATGTGTATATAATCATTATATTATATTATTACATTACAGTATACAGTATATGAACATATATATATATGTATATATATATATATATATATATGATTAATTAAATTTATATTATATATGTCATATATTTTTATGTAATATATTTTATAATGCATTTAATATATTTAAATCATATTATTATTGTAAATTTAGTATAATAATTTCAGTTTCTCTCCTTATTCACCTGTGCATACAGCAGTATTGCTTTTTTATTTTGCACTATGAAATGATTTTTGTTTTCTAATGAAATTGCATTAGCTCTAATAGTTAACTGTTTTTAATATTTTATTATGTAAATGATGCAGTCTAATTTTGTCGTGTAGCTTGTGATATAACTGCTTTCTCTAAAGGTTAGCTGTCAGTTTAGATTAGCTGTTCTTTTTCTGTAGAGTAGTTGATAGCTGCTTTTTTGACGCTGCATTAGGTGATAATATAAAAACATCACTCTGTAGAATTTACTGCCTGGGTCGGTGTGTTATGAGAATTATAATGTTTGTGTCAGTAATAGTTTGTGTAATGTGGTCATGTGGAGGGCTAGCGTGTGCTAGCTCAAGCCTGATATCCCGCTATTCCTCATATGTCTGCGGCTGAGCGCCGTTAGCAGCCAGCTCAGCACTTCCTGCAGGATTCTTATCGAGTTTGTTGAGGAACCGCAGCAGAGCTCACGCTGACAGAGAGATGGTGAGAAAAACAGTGTCAGCAATGCAATTACACCCTTTAATGTGGCATTTGAAGGACAGATTACACCTATACACTTGCTTTTTGTCTCTATTTGCTGGATAATTCCTTTTGAAGGCCTTAAAAGGTGCAACCTGATCAGCTTTAGATAAAGCAGTTCATTATGCCAGTCAAATCAGGTCTATTTACTGTTTACATGCATTTGGTTTTATTTTGCACAAATCACATGCAAATGCAATGCACATCAGGTAAACAGTTTTTTTTCTTGTCATTTCAGTTTCCTGCTGGTTTTCTCCTGTCTGGTTCTGTCTGTGTTCTCCACGATCAGAGAATATGAGAAGAGCTCAGAAGACGCCCTCTACATCCTGGTATGTAACATCACAGAGGTATTGATTTAACACGTGTGCATTGATCACATGCTAACATGACATCTGTCTGTGTGTTTGTAGGAAATTGTAACCATTGTGGTTTTCGGAGTGGAATACATCGTAAGGATCTGGTCTGCAGGATGTTGCTGTCGATACAGAGGATGGAGGGGAAGGTTAAAATTCGCCCGGAAACCTTTTTGTGTTATCGGTGAGGATTTCTAAAGGCCTGCCAAGCTACACGGCAAAATGATTTTTTAAAGCTGTAAATGAGGATTACTGGAGTACCTTTTACAGGAAAATTCTTCCAAATTTCATGCACTTGCTGTTTTGCTGCTTTTAATAATTTATGAAATGTATTATCAATTTCTGAGCGAAAATAGTCAAAGTAAATCCAAAGTAATTTTTGAATGCATCCTTTTATTCATCAAGGATGCATTAAAATGCCCAAAAGTGACAGTAAAGACGTGCAATGTTACAAAAGATTTCTATTTCAGATGAATGCTGTTCTTTTGAACTTTCTATTCATAAAAGAATCCGAGAAATAAAATGTATCACAGTTTCCACAAAAACGGTTTTCAGCATTATAAATAACCAGAAATATTTCTTGAGCAGCAAATCAGCATATTAGACCCTCATGTGACACTGAAGACTGGAGTAATGATGCTGAAAATTCAGCTGCGCATCACAGAAATAAATTACAATTTTACAATATATTCACATAGAAAACAGCTGTTTTAAATTGTAATAATATTTCACAATTTTTACTCTACCTCTTTTATTGTACCTCTATCTACACAGAGATAAAATGCATGCCTGTATGCATGAAGTCACTTGCCAAATGCATGTAAATTTGCATATTTTCTATCACATCAATATTTGATATGCTTGTACATTTAGCTTGATCAGTTGCTATTGTATTTTTCAGACATCATGGTGCTGATCGCCTCGATCTCGGTTTTGGCCGCTGGGACGCAGGGGAATGTGTTCGCCACCTCTGCCATCAGGAGTCTCCGGTTCCTCCAGATTCTACGGATGATCCGCATGGATCGGCGCGGGGGAACCTGGAAGCTCTTGGGATCTGTGGTCTACGCTCACAGCAAGGTAACTGAAGATGATAAACGCTCCTGAAACTGTTCAGTAACCAGTGACACTTCCAATATGCTCACGTAAATCTCATCCCACATTCTGGCATTCACGATATTCACTGCGGGACATTCATGAGAGATAAAGGTCTATTGGCTATAGATAAAGCAATTCATAATGCTCATCAAGTCAACCCTATTTACTTAATTAATACATGCATCTGGTCTTATTTTGCACATATCATTAGAAGTAAATGCAATTCATGGTAAAATCCATGCAAAGTTTAAAGTCAACATGAAATCAGTGTTAACTTAATTCATGTTCCTAGTCTTATTGTGAAAGATTCATCAATACACATTGTTCCAATGGAATGTTAATTTTGAGTGTTACTTTTGAATGTTACATTTGAATGTGAGTGTTACTTTTGAGTGCTGCTTCTGAATGGGATTGTTACTTTTGAATCAGAATGTTACCTTCTAATGTTATGATTGTTATGAAGATCTTATTATGGATGATTTATCAATGCATGTTGTTCCAAATTGATCTAAATTCAAAATGTAGCAAAGCATCACTTTTTCAGCTTCAATATCCTGTCTCATGCAAAAATATGTCAGATTATGGACATTTTTCAGTTGCAAATGCAATTTCATGTTATTTTAAAACATATTTTGAAGTCTTTTGATGCCCTCAAACAATGCAGCTGAAGCATGAATCAATAATATACAAACTCAATTTCCAAACTGCAAAGACCCATTTCAGTTGCCCTTAAGAAATATTGCACATAGCCCAAATATGATTTTGAGAGGTTTAATGTTGTTCTGGCTGCTTCATGAGGCCTTTGCTGTACAGATATTGAAGAATGAAACCACAGGAGTCGTTCTGTCACGTGTCATTTGTCAAGCCCAACATTTCCTGCTCGTTGTTGAAGTGGGTTTGAGAGGTCAGATGCTCTCGTGGAACGGATCTAATGGTGTCTTTTTGGCTCGGTGTGGCTGTGTTGAGGAGAGGAGGAAAAGGCCAAAGTGGGGGCAAAGCTTAATGAGACATCCTGATGAAGTGTCAGCTGGAGGTTTGCGATCGATAAGTCTTGGCAAGATATAAACTCGTACTGTAAATACAGGGCACACGGTCACAGATGGAGAACTGACAGGAATGTTCCCTGAACCTTTACAGTGTCCTGGTTGTTTTATGTTTTAAAAAAAAAATTATTGGTTATATGAATGTTACAAAGCAATGAAATGTTACTTTTGAGTGTTATTTTTGAATAAGAGTGTTACATTTGAATGTTGCTTTTGAGTGGGAATGTTACTTTTGAATGTTAATTTGTAATGGGAATGTTACTTTAGAGTGTTACTTTTAAATGCTAGTTTGGAATGGGAGTGTTACATTTGAATGTTGCTTTTAAATTGGAATGTTAATTTTGAGTGTTACTTTGAATGGGAATGTTACTTTTGAATGTTATCTGAACGTCTGAAACAAGTAGTAAGTAATAATGTTTCAAATATGCAATTAAGATGTTTTTGTGGTAACATTTTGAGAACGTTATTAAAGATCAGGGTGGCCGGCTGCATAAACATAGTCAATATGTTAAGACTGAGTCTTAAGAACTAGTCTGAGGAACTCACAGTTGTTCAAAGTTTTCAGATTCAAATGACCCAATCTATGTTTTTATGTAACTGACTGCCTCTTGAGTGATTCCTCAGCAGTTTTGTGCTCTGTGAAAACATACGGGGAACATCATCTGTTGTCCTGGTGATGAAAACACATTTTCTCTAACAAAAATATATACAGGTGCATCTCAATAAATTCTAATTTGTTGAGATAGTGAATTGGTGGGTTTTTGTTAAATGTGAGCCAAAATCATCACAATTAAAAGAACCAAAGACTTAAACTACTTCAGGCTGTGTGCATTGAATTTATTTAATACACGAGTTTCACAGTTTGAGTTGAATTACTGAAATGAACTTTTCCACGACATTCTAATTTATTGAGATGCACCTGTATACATAGTGAAATTGCATGTTCACAGTAAACATGCTGAAATATAAATGAGTTTTAAGTGAGTTGCGTGCTAGCAGTGTGATGTGAGGAAAGGAAAGCCGTCTATGAAATAGCAGCATTAGTCTGATTAAATAATTAATGCCGAGTATATTAATCGAAAGAAGAAAACAGGTTATTTATGTTGTGTTGTGAGAAAAATTAAGACTTGATGATATGAAATTCTCAAACAAATAAACTTATGCCACATTCATAAGAAAATGAAGTTTGGGGTGAGTGAGGGTTTTTTGAAAGGATACACTAACTTGATCAAAAGTGCCAGTAAAGACATTGATAATGTGACAAAAGATTTCTGTTTCAAATAAATGCTGTTCTTTTGAACTTTCTGTTATTCATCTGTGAGTCCTGACAAATAAAATGCATCACAGTTTCCACAAAAAATATTGTGCAGCACAACTGTTTTCAACATTGATAATAATCAGAAATGTTTCTTGAGCAGCAAATCAGCATATTAGAATGATTTCTGAAGATCATGTGACACTGAAGAGTGGAGTAATGATGCTGAAAATTCAGCTTTGATCACAGAAATAAATTACAGTTTAACATAGATTCACACAGAAAGCTATTTTACACTAATAATATTTCAGAATATTACTGTTTTTACTTTATCTTTTTTTAATGCAGCATTGGTGAGCAGAAGAGACTTCTTACTCCTTACTGTTTGCTCATTTCTCTTGTTCACAGACTAAAATGAGATTTTTGTTATTGTGGCATCGACTGTTTCAGATATTCCTGCTCCTAAACAAAGTAAACCACACTCCTTCCTTTCTAGATGGTCAGTTCTTGGCCAGATTAATCAGAGAAGTGGATTAGACTGCAGTCAAGAGTCTTCATTCATTCAGGTGCCATCATGAGTTCAGCCTCGGGCGATGTCTCTCAAGGGCAAGAAAGTGGGCGATGCACTGACGGTGCATTTTTCAGTCTAAAATGAGTCGCAGTGGCATAACGTTCCAGCGTCTGAGTTTGAGTGGTGTCCCATTTCGGAAGATGCATTTACAGGAGCAAAGAAACGCTCATGCTGACCGAGAAAGAACTCGGAAGTTGTTTTCTTTGGCTTGTTTCAGGAGCTTGCTAGTGTTGAGATGTTCACTGATTGTGATTACAGTAGTGAGTGCTCACATTATCATTGTTAACTAAAACTACAACAATGAAACCATTTTTGTTCATTGAAATAAAGCTGAAAAAAATATAAATATTATATGAAAAACTTATTTCAGTTTTCATTTAGTTCAAGTTGAAGCACTACAATTACTAGCTGTCAATAAAGTAAATAAAAGCTAAAACTGAACTAAAACTGAAATGAAAATAAATTAAACCTAAATAGTATAGGCTAATATAAAAAACAAAAACAAATCAAAAAGACAAGAGCACATAACAAAATTACTAAAAATGTAAGAAAAATTAAAATAAAACTGAAAGTATAAACATAAAAGCTCATTTAAAAACTATAATAGTTAATAAATAATGCAAATATAACTGGTTCTCATTATTTCAGTTTCACTGAGATACTATTATAGTTTTTATTGATATTTTGAATTATATTTACTCTTTTCATTTTCATTTTAGTTCAAGTTTGGGTAATTTTGTTGTTTTTGTCATTTTTATTAGTTCTTTTAAGAATATCTATATAGTTTTCATTTTTTTATTTCAGTTTTATTTATTTTAGTACAGTACATCAGGATTAACTAAATGGAAATAAAAAATGTTGCCTTCGTAACTAGCTGAAATAAAATTTAAAAAATTCAGGTTTTTATATTTTATTTTATTTCAGTTAAAGTTTATTTTATTTCAAGTAACAAAAATTGCTTTATGGATTTGGTTCTAGATTTAGTTGACTATAATATCCCTGCATCATACCAGTGTTATTTTAGTGTAGTTTTTATTTCAGTTTTAGATGTAGTTTATTTTATGTTGATTAACAAAAATGTGAGTTTTTATGATGTTAGTTTTAGTTAACTATTATAACCCACAAAAGTGCATCACACTTTAGTCAATAGTAAAAGTGGCATTTGCAAAACCAAAAGTTAAGCATAATATTACGCAGCTACACTGTATTGCCACTTTAGTGCATCATCCTTATCATCATCATCATCATTCATGGGTTGTTGACTTTTAAACAGGCAACAAACATCAGAGAAAACACTTGATACTGACATTTATTGATGGTGTGTTTAACAGGAACTGATCACCGCTTGGTACATTGGCTTCCTGTGTCTGATCCTGGCCTCATTCCTGGTGTATCTCGCTGAGAAGGAGGATAACGAGATGTTTGAGACCTACGCTGATGCGCTCTGGTGGGGTCTGGTAAGCCCTTCGCACTAACAAACCTGCTTGAAGTCACGTGGCGTGTCCACAATCTCTCATAATGTGGTCTGAGATCGATATGATTTCATGAGCAGATTGCATTCGAATATGTATTTCACTCGCTACTTCATTCAACCACATTTATGGACTGATGAACACCATTTGTTTTCTTGCACTCGGCGTTCTGTGAGTGTTCTGGTGTGGAAGCGCTTCTGCATTGCTGGGTTTCATATTTTCAGCTTTATTATAGAGTTAATCAGCACTCAGGGTAGATTCTCGATCAGAGTCAGCGCTGGCGTGATTCCTCTGGAAATAAACTCAAGGAGATCAGATAGAGCCACAGCTGAAGTTTGCACACAGGACTCTGTGAGGATTATTAATTATGCAGTGATGTTTATCGCTCGTTGAGTTTGATGAGATGCTATTTCAGAAAGATCACAGAGGAATCGTGTGTGGATGGAGTTCGTGCTCTTGCATAATTTAATGACAGATCTTAATATTTATTTTTCCGATTTGCTCTTTGTGTGAGCTGTTCTGTTTAAATCATTTTCGGCAATAGTGACCTTTGATAAAAGGATTTGTATTATTTGTTACTTTATTTTGACTGACTGATTAATTAATCAGTTCCTTTGTATGTTAATATTAGGGTAAATCATGATAGAAAAAACAAACAAAAGAATATTATATATTATATGATATTATATTACATTATATTATACTTTTATGTGTATATACATAGCGACAAGTGACAGCAGAACAAAATCTGTATATTAATATATTTGTATTTATTTGTATATGTATGTATATATATATAGAGAGAGAGAGAGAGAGATACACATGCACACAAATAAATAAAAAATATAATACAATATATTTATTTTAATAATATTTAATATAAATCATTTATATTTTATATATATTTATCTGTATATACATAAACTTTGTGTGTGTGTGCGTGTGTGTGTGTGTATGTGTGTGAGAGTGTGCATGTGCGTGTTCGTGTGGGTGTGTGTGTGTGTGTGTGTGTGTGTGTGTGTGTGTGTTTAGATATATATACATTAGTTTCATTAAGACATATTTTTACATTGGGGTACTGGGACATTATTTTCATTATATTTCCTCCCAAACTGAAAAATAAAAGAAGAATATATGATATGTTATTTAAATTGTCAAGTATTTATGTATGACTATATGATGAGTCTCATCATACATGTAGATGTATTCTAAATTAATACTTAATTAATTTTAACTCCTAATCTTAAAACCCACTGGTCTGAAGATATGCTTTGTTTTCTTTATGCAATATATATACAGTATATATATATATATATATATATATGAAATTGAATGAAATGAAATTTTTGCATGAAATGGGACTTACTCATTTTAAAGCTAATTGTTTTCAGGCTCCTCTGAGAGCAGTCAGTGACAATGATTGATTACTGAACTGAACTGAGTTAATGGCTAACTGAAATCTGTTGGCGGTTCCCCTCAATGTCCCACAGATCACTCTGACCACCATCGGCTACGGCGATAAATATCCCATAACCTGGAACGGACGTCTCCTTGCCGCGACCTTCACCCTGATCGGCGTGTCGTTCTTTGCTCTGCCTGCGGTGAGTCTCCGGGGATTCGAGAGGAAATGAACAGATAGAGTCGAACAGGCTTTTAATGGAGTGGAGAGAGCAGACACTGAATTAGATCACTGCAGTTTACATTTAGACATTTAGCAGATGCTTTTATCCAAAGTGACTTACAAATGAGGACAATGGAAGCAATCAAAATCAACAAAAGAGCAATGATATGCAATAGTTATGAATATAACAATCCCACTGGCTGCTTAATGCGCTTTTCTTCATAGCAGTTCTGCTTTAATGTAAACACATCTGTGAATTATGATTCATCATTTCGGATTTATTGGAACCGAAGTTTAAAATTTGCATAATGGACTATAAAGGTACATTATAACGCATATCTTTTCATAAATACTTGTAACCAAAGTCAAAATGTATTGTAATATTTGCAGCTTCATTGTTACATGTATAATTTATGGAAGCCCGTTTTTGCAACATAATAAAAAATTAATTAATAAATAACAAGCTAATTGCGACTTTTCATCTCACAATTTGTGAGATATAAACTCAAAATTATGACTTTTTTCTAGCAATATCAAACTAAATATTTAATAACAAATAAAGTAAAATAAAAAGGGTAATTGCAATTTTTTATCTCACTATTCAGAATTGCAAGATATAAACTCAATATTCTGAATTTTATTCTTGCAATTCCGAGTCAAATTTCACAATTCTAAATGAATGAATGAATGATTCATTCATTCATTCAATACTAAATAAATTACACATTTAAAAAATATATATATTTTATTTAATCAAATAAATAAAAAAAATAATTTAAAAAAGGTAATTGCAACTTTTTATCTCACAGTTCAGACATTTTTCTCTTCATTTCTGAGAAAAAAATCACAAGATACAAACTCAGAATTGCGAGGAAAGTTGCAATTAACTTTATTTTTTTTTATTTCTTGGCAAAAACAGGCTTTCATAGAAATTAGTTGTTTGCCATGGATTTTAATGAAATATATGTTCTAAAGGTGTAACAATTCATAGATAAGTATTATAAATGTGATTACAGTTATTCATGAGATCATACAGTGAATTTTAAGGTGCATTACAAAGAATAATTAATGCATTAAAGATACTTATACAATGAATAATATATATATAAATGTAAAGTGTTACAAAAATGATCTAGGGTTGTATGATATTCTCCCCAGTCTGAAAAAAATCATCTAATGAAACGAAGAAGAAAAACTCATTGTTGCTGCAAAAACCTTGATAAACATTCTAACTAGAGCTCAGGGAAACATAGAACCTAATATAAGTGCACTTTATCAGAAGATATGACCCCTTTAATGTCGTGACACTCCATTATAGTGCAGAATAATAGACGACATGGCTCAGTTTCTGGAAGAACTAGGTCCAGTCATCATTAACAAAGTTTCTTTTCACGCTCCGCAGGGGATTCTGGGTTCTGGATTTGCCTTGAAAGTTCAGGAACAGCATCGGCAGAAACATTTCGAGAAGCGCAGAAATCCAGCTGCCGGCCTAATTCAGGTACAACACGCCTCGTCTCAACGTCCCAGATACGCTCAGTGTTGCCCGATCCGGTTAGCTGGGAAAATAACACGGACTTTGTTGAACAAGTGAGAAACTCAGAGCTCTGAAACCTGAAGAAAAAAAAAAAGTCTGATAGCCTCAAAGAATCAAATGTATCATGGTTTACACAAAAATATTGTGCAGCACAATTGTTTTCAACATTGATAATCCCCCACCCGCCTCTCTCTCTCTCTCTCTCTATCACAGCATTCCTCTGGGGTGTCAGATGAGATCTCCTCAGACGTCTCTGCATCGATCTGCTCACTGACCTTTGAGGCTGTTTTTGTGCAGATTGTGAAGGTCAACAGAGCTGTCCACACACTCCCTCCCTTCATACCTATGGCATGTTTTATTCATGCATCACGCTTTGATTTCAAATGTCGAATCAGCAGGGTATGCATGTGATGTTGCATGTCATATGTAATGTGTTGCATGAGCTAATGCTGCTTTTGAGTCATAAAATAGAGTATATGAACATAAAAGCTTTAGAATCACGTGTTTATGATAACACACCACCACTGTTATTGATGAACGTGTAGCATCTATTGCACTGAATGCATTGGAGTTTAAGAAACAAAGACTTTGATTTTCTTTTATTCATCATGGATGCATTAAATTGATCAAAAGTGACAGTAAAGACATTTATAACGTTATAATTTTCTTTTTCAAGTTAATGCTGTCCTTTTGAACTTTCTATTCATCAAAGAATCCATGGTTTCCACAAAAATATTGTGCAGCACAACTGTTTTCAACATTGATAATAATCAGAAATGTTTCTTGAGCAGCAAATCAGCATATTAGAATGATTTCTGAAGATCATGTGACACTGAAGACTGGAGTAATGATGCTGAAAATACAGCTGCGCATCACAGAAATAAATTACAGTTTAACAGATATTCACATAGAAAACAGTTATTTTAAATTGTAATAATATTTCACAATTTTTACTGTTTTTATTGAATTTTTATTAAATTAATTGAGCCAAAAATTCAGAGCAAAAATTTTTCAAAAACAAAAATCTTTCTGATCTACTGAGCCAAAAAAAATGATGTGCAAATGATGAGCAAATTAATCTCTTATTTGTTTTTGTTTGTTAAGTCAGGCATTTCTATTATTAGTGCTCATATTTTTATGTTAGACCAAACAGTGTTATTTGTTAGTGATTTGAACAAACCTCCCAGAGTATTTGGTGCATTATAAACTTCAGGTTTACTTTTCTGTAGTCAGCATATACCTTTTTCTTTCTGTCTTTTTCTGTCTGTTTAAAAAGTCATTATATTGTGCATGAGATTGTAGATTCTTAACCCTTTATTCAGCTTTCAGATGATGTATAAATCTCAATTGAGATTTATGCATCATCTGAAAGCTGAATAAATGATCTTTCCATTGATGTATGGTTTGTTAGGATAGGAGGACAATATTTGTCTGAGATACAACTATTTGAAAATCTGGAATCTGAGGGTGCAAAAACATCTAAATATTGAGAAAATCATCTTTAAAGTTGTCCAAATTAAGTTCTTAGCAATGCATATTACTAATCAAAAAAGTTTTGATATATTTACGGTAGGAAATTTACAAAATATCTTCATGGAACATGATCTTTACTTAATATCCTAATGATTTGTGGCATAAAAGAAAAATCTATAATTTTGACCCATACAATGTATTTTTGGCTATTGCTACAAATATACCCCAGCGCCTTAAGACTGCTTTTGTGCTCCAGGGTCACATATATATATATGAAAATTCCTGTCTTTTTCCTGTACATTCTCTCTCTCTGTCCCTCTCACAGTCAGTGGTGTATTTATTAATAGTACCTTGTTAGTTTTTTGTCGATTTTTTCTGTCCAAAGAAGCGTCCAGATTTACATAAGCATTGCACAGCATTTCCTCTTCACACATCATCCGTGTGCCAACAGTCTCTGTGTGTTTTTCCAGACTCATCCCTCCTCTAAACCAGCTCGATCTGCTGAGAAACCTCAAGAGCAAATCCGGCCTCTCCTTTAGGTGATGTAAAATGGCAACTTTCATTTCTGATTCTCTCAGATGAATAGTTTATGTGTTAATGAATTGCTTTGCGCCATTTCAAGCTAAATTGATACATTTTAATATTTATTAGATAGTGTTTAGTTTGTTAAAGGACTTCATAATCATTGCATTAAAAAAGTATGATTTTGTTTTCTAACACAGGAAGGAAGCCCAACCAGAACCCTCTCTGAGGTTAGTAAAATCATGTGTGCCGTACATATAAATGATCTAATATTTCTCAGGCACCACAGATGTTAAATGTGAGACGTAATGCTTTCTTTTGAATGCATCATGTCCGTTTGGGTGTCATCAGTGCTGCCAGGGCAGGATGTGTTTCATGGACGTTGTTTGTGTGCAAATATTTTGCCAGTCCATGTATGTCCACATCAATGAAGACACTATTTATGTGTGCGTGTGTGTGTGTGTGCGTGCGTGCGTGCGTGTTTGTGCGTGCGTGCGTGCGTGCGTGCGTGCGTGTGTGTGTGTGTGTGTGTGTGTGTGTGTGCATGTGTGTGTGTGTGTGTGTGAGAGTGAGAGTGTGTATTAGTTTTACCTTGTTTGTGTGCAGACAGATGTGTGGCGTTTAATAAGCCAAATGCACATGAATACATCCGCCCACGTTTCAAAAAACACTGAAACACATGTTGTGAAGAGAATGAATCTCTATAGGAAACACTTTATTTTAACCTTCATTAACTTAAATTTGGGCTTAAATATTGTTTTTATTGTAAATATAATAATTTATAGTGTGGAAGCAAAGTTAATGACAAGCTCTTGAATTAATGAAAATTTAATGCACACTCAAGGTGGTTATGCAATGCAAAATTACTCATATTTATGTATGTTTCAAGACATTTTTCAGATATATTCAGGGTTTTATGAAATAAGCATGGAATTACTTTCATAGCCCAGCAATCATAATAAATTAATCAACATCCTTGAAATGTGTCAGCCAATCAGAATGTGTAAAATGGTAACATGCAATCCTATTATGCATTTTACCAAATCAGGTAAAGCTCCTGGGTGAATGTCAACTTATCCAGTGATGTTTTATAACTTTTCATATCATTTTCAGTAGTTTTGGAGTGTGCTTGACACAATTACTTTTTCCTTACATCATAGCTAAACCATCTGCAAACCCTCAGTCTCTAACTTCTACACTCTTCCACCCTTCACAGTCAGAAAGTGAGCCTGAAAGAACGCGTGTTCTCCAGCCCGAGAAACTCCGCGAACAAAGGGAAGAACTCTCCTCAGGGCCAGCAGCCCCTGCGATGCTCTCCCAGCGCCGACAACAGCATAGAGTACAGTCCCTCCAAAGTACCCAAGAGCATCAGCTTCGGCGACCGCAGTCGAGCCAGACAGGCCTTCCGCTTCAAAGGCGCCGCGTCTCGCCAGAACTCAGAAGGTGAGGGAAAGCAACCCATTCCTGTGCTCTTATTCGGTGTTGCCTTCTGTATCTGTCCGCTTTGGTCGTGGTTTGGTAGTTGTAGAATGTTACATTTGTTACAGTTGTTACAGAATGTTACAGAATGTTTCATACACAGAATGCTACAGAATGGTAGCTGTAGAATGTTATATTTGTTACAATTGTTACCGAGTGTCAAATACACAGAATGTTACAGAGTGGTAGTTGTATAATGTTACATTTGTTACAATTGTTACAGAATGTTACAGAATGGTAGTTTAGAATGCTACATTTGTTACAGTTGTTACAAAATGTTACAGAATGTTTCATACACAGAATGTTACAGAATGGTAGCTGTAGAATGATACATTTGTTACAATTGTTACCGAGTGTCAAATACACCGAATGTTACAGAGTGGTAGTTGTAGAATGTTACATTTCTTACAGTTGTTACAGAATGTTACATACACAGAATGTTACAGAATGGTAGTTGTAGAATGTTATAAAAGTTGTAGATTCAAATGCAACAAATAACAATCATGAAGTGCAAGACCATCATTATAGTTTGTATATTTAAAGTTGCAGTAGATACAACGTGAAAACTAGTACCTGATTGAGGAATTAAACACAAACTCTTGTGTTTTGATTGTTTTAAACTGGTTAGACATGTCCACATTCACTTGAATAAGTTGCATTGATATTTTTAGAAGAAGGCATGAAGACAAAAACTAGATTAATTTTATATAATCCAGATTCAGAGTCAAGCTGCACACATCAGGATTCTTATTCTGTCTTTATGTTGTGCTATTGCATGTTATTTTTGCAATGTTGTATTGTGATCAGTGTAATTCTTTCTGTCTGCATTGTTTGTGCATATCAATTATAACTTAGTAGTCACGTGTTGATTTTGCTGCCAGTGTTTTTGTGGAAAAACGTCTCAGGTTACTTATGTAACCATGGTTCCCTGATATAGTCGCACCAGTAGTGACGTCATGGCTGTCGCCGGCCAACAAGTTGGTGTTTTTTCAATGTATGCTTCAGACACGGGTCACGACGAGGCGTTCCCCATAGCGACCCCTAGAGGACGCAGTTCGAAGTTCCCATGAAAGGGAACTCTGAAAGTTCTTGAGGTGAAGATTATGAGCTAATTATTTTATTAGCTAAAATGTGCTATTAATTTATGTAAGCCATTTAAGATAAGCTAGTTTTATGATTGGTATGAATGCAGTATATGATTTCATGGCATATATTATGGCATAAATATATATTATTTTACATACCAATCATAACATTTGGCCTGAATCATTACCAATGATTGAATATGATTGATTGGATGTGTGTTGGAATATTGAAATATAATTTATGAAAAAGTCTGTGCTTTGGTTACACTTTCCACAAAGTGCAAATTCACTGCTTATTTTCAAGTAAATGTTTTTTTCGAATCCTTGAAATTTCATTTAATAATGTACAGTTTCAGATGACTAAAAATAAAGGCAGTCAGCTGTGAAACCTAATAAAACTATTTGACAGAATCATGTGGACGGCAGCTTGTGGAAAGTTGACCTTTTGTAATCCATGTGTGTGTTTATGATTTCCCCCTTGTTTTTTCTGATGAATGTGGATCCTGATGCTGATGCTAAAGTGCTCATTGAGATGCAAGAGGAAGATTTGAGACACAGGAACTCTCCAGGTCAGGCAATCCAGATGGGTCGGGCTCCCATTCAACCGCTTAAAACCAAAGCACCATATTCAGTCAAACTAACCAGCTTCAGTCACAGCACAACTACCAGTCTGCAAATATGCTTTGAATTTGGTTTTGGCTATGATTAACAATAAAATTATAATTTTATTGATTTTTTTGCCGTCAATTGAGCAATATTACTATATGGACAAAAGTATTGTGACTCCCCCAGGTTTGACTACAAAGTAGTCAAACCTGTTCATTAGAAGGGGGTGTCCCAATACTTTGTCCATACACTTAAAAATAAAGGTGCTTAAAAGGTTCTTCACAGCGATGCCATAGAAGAACCATTTTTGGTTCCACAAAGAACCATTCAGCCAAAGGTTCTGTAAAGAACCATCTCTTTCTTACCTTTTTATAATCTGAAGAACCTTCTTTCGCCACAAATAACCTTTTGTGAAACAGAAAGGTTCTTCAGATGTTAAAGGTTCTTTATGGAACCATTCAGACAAAAAAGGTTCTTCTATGGCATCGTGAAGCACCTTTATTTTTAAGAGTGTATAGTATTTCAACATGTGATTTCATTAGTCCAGTTTAATTCCTTTGTGTTTTAATTGCCTTTCATTCAAGGTAAAGCTCAAGGGTCTCTTGACTAAAGCTCTCACTGTTATACAGCATGCTAAATGTATTTATTCATTTATTTTGCCCATTTAAAGCTACAGTATGTAAGATTTTCCATTCTTGAATGACTGCATATCTCTCAAGACTGCTGGGATGAATTTAAAGAGAGACTCAATTGAGAATTTTTTATGGCGTTATGGCACAGCATGAGTAGTATTATTGTTGTTGAAACTCTTTTCATTAGTTTTGAAGGTCAAATGTATCTCTATTTAAGGATTCAGCTGTCATTGGGACAAATCCACTTAAAAGGCCACCAGCAGTCAGTCAGCTAAAGTTCATCAGCCAGTTATGTCAAATGTGATCGTCTGATCATCATGAAATTTAGACATATGTGCATTGCATACATGTCTTTAAGAGGCAGTGTACCAAATTTAGTGTATTCAGCCACTAGGTGGTGCTGTAATAAGCAAATGTATCTAACTCAAGAACCATGGGGTCACAATACAATTTTAAATTTCCTGAAAAACCTACTTCTCAAACTCAACCTAGGTCTTTCATTCTGTTTAACATTAAATTTTCTTACAAAAAAAGTTAATCGGGTAATTTTAAAATATCTGATTGTTCGGCACACTTAAGTCAATAACATTTTCCAACCCGATCTCATGAAAGTGCGTATAAATAGTACGCAAATAAAAACGAAAACTCGTGGTATTGATATGCAAAAATGGACTTTGATGTGTATATGCTACGCCAGGGCTGTCCAAACTCGGTCCTGGAGGGCTGGTGTCCTGCAGAGTTTAGCTCCAACCCTAATTAAACACACCTGAACCAGCTAATCAAGCTCTTACTAGGCATAGAAACTTCCAGTCAGGTGTGTTGAGGCAAGTTAGAGCTAAACTCTGCAGGACACCGGCCCTCCAGGACCGAGTTTGGACAGCCCTGTGCTACGCTATATGATGTCGTATATGCTATATGATGGGTAGGTTTAGGGTTGTGGGGTAGATGCGTATCATATGTACGCGAAAACTGCGTATCATATGTACACCAACAAATTTCGTATCATATGCACACGAAAACTGCGTATTATATGCACACCAAACACATGCGTATCATATGCACGCCAAAGTCCATTTTTGCATATCAATAACACGAGTTTTCGTTTTTATTTGGCGTACTATTTATACGCATTTTCATGAGACTGGGCTGCAATTTTCAGGTGCATTATTAGTCCATATTGACTAATAATCCTGTATAATGTTAATGCAGTGTGCAAACTTAACAAATTTTGGTGCACAAGGACACCAGGACAATCTTAACAGATGCTCCAAATTTCATGAAATTGCGCCTAGAAATGCTATAACTAGGAAGCTTCGTATCTCTCCACAACCCCCTTTTGATTGAGGAAGCTGATTAAAAATTGGTTTGTTTGGATCCAGTTCATTTCCCCTTCTATACTGAGTACATCACAGTGGTCTGAGAATATGACAGTCTGTAAAGTCTTACCTGCTTTAAATGCTGGACTGTCCACTGTTCTTTCTGTTTGATTTTGAACAATGAAAAAATATTAGTTAAAAATCTGATGTGTTCTTCTGTTAAAATGCTTGCATGTTTAAGATACCTTTGAAAACCTTTAGCATGATGAACTGTTTTTTTTATGCTCTAAATTAATCTTTTTTAGTTAGTACTTTTATTTTTACATTTTATTTTACATGTGAATCCTTTTTTAAAAAAGGAAAAAGGGTACGGCTGATTAGTCAATGTTATCAATCTAATATTGTTACTTAAGTCCCATAGCCTGTGAAATATATTCAATGTCCTAAAACATGCATATATTTATAATTATTGGTTTCTGGCTACAAATTTGCCATTTTAGCTACAAAACTGAAGTCAAATTACATTAAAATCCAATCAAAGTCCTAGTACATTCCAGAAACACAACATTTCATATTGCACTTATGTTTTTTTACACTGATCTGCATGAGATATTTTGTGATGCAACTAAACCTTCTATATTTCATGTTGTGTATTCTTAAAGATTTTTTTTTTATGAGTGATGAGTTTCTTTAATAGTAACAGTATATTAATGATTTTTCCCTTCTTTTCTCATTTTAGTTTTGTTTTTAGAAACGTCTAGCAATTTCGACTAGTCATGCTGTACTTCTTTTTAGTACTGATGCTGTGAAGTTCATGAAATATCTTGCTGTCATCTATAAATTGCTATCAAGATATCAGATGGTTAGCCTATTATAAATGCAATGCAAAGTCAGAGAAAATCTTGTGATTGCAAGTCTACCTGATGTCTTGTTAGTGTGCAGAATTCAATTTGCACCTTCACTTGAATGTCATTTCATTGTATTTAAAAACTGACACTCTTTGAGTATTTCACTTCATGCGAGAAAGAGTGTGAATCATTTCTCTGAAGGTGAATCATTTATTTGAAGCACTGAAGCTTTGGATAACTGCACAACAAAATCTTGTTTTAGAACTAAATCTGGTTCACCTTCAGAGAATTTACAAGTTTCAGAAAATTCTGAATGTATTTTATTTTTCATTATTATGACCATTGTTCCTTGAAGTTATAGATTTTAAGCAGGTCTGTTTTGTTGTTGTTTTTGTAACTGTATTACCATCTCTCCTCCCCAAACTATCGCAGCAATTGAAGGGTTAATCAGTAAGAGATTATCAAACAGGAGCTAGTTTTTACCAACCCTAGAACTAGTGCTAGTGGATGGCTGCAAACTTTGCTCTTTTACCTGCATGTGAGGAGAACTAGTTAGTCCTGAGGAGGAAAAGACCACAGAGCTGTGGAACAACTAGTCAACCTCATTAAACTGGTTTCAGACATCATTATTCACTCGAGGGTCTGGAGCCGGATGGTTGTTTTAAAGCTCTGTGGTTTATTTGGCATAATAAGCACAGGTAGATTTATTTGTACACACCTGTCCTGTGCCAGATGGTCTGTGCTAACTAATGGGAACACGGGAGAAAGACACCGTGACCCAAAATGACAGATGCAATCAGCATTTTGCATGAATATAAGAAAATGGTCTGGTTAGTGTTATTTAAAGTGACAGTTCACCCTAAAAATGAAAATTAGCTGTTAATTTAACCCCCCTCAGGCCTCCAAGATGTAGTTGCCTTTTTTCTTCAGTAGAACAGTAAAGAAGATTTTTAGCTAAAATCGTGCTCCATGGTGATTCATAAAATGCACGTCAGTGGCTACCCTTTTTTTTTTTTAATTCAAGGAACATAAAATTAGTCCCCGTGGCTCCTGATGATATATTGAAGTCTTGTGAAGAGAAATGATTGGTCTGTGCAAAAACACTGAACATTATTTACAACATTATAACCTGTCATAGGCGCCGAAAAACATGAGTTTTGGTTGAACTATCCCTCTAAGTGTTAATGACTCTAAATCAGTGGTTCTCAACAGGTGAGAGTCGTGACCCAAAAGTTAGTTACAGATCTGTTTTGATAAAGAAAATATGACCTGTATAACATTAAATGCTGGTTCCAGGTTTGGCATTGTGTTGGGTGTTCAACATAAAATCAGTTGGGAGCCGCTGCTTTAAGATTCAAGGTAGTTTAGACGAGTCCAGCACTGAGGTATCACTGGTTAAGTACAAGTTTCATCAATTACCAGTGCTCTAGAAAATCATTTAAAACAGTCAATTAAATTGAAGAAAGCATTTCATTATGGCCATTAACATATTTGACAGTTGCCTCAGTGCTTTATTAACTCACTCATAGTCAAATACTTCATTAAATAATGTCCTTTGACAAAAATGTGCCAGTATTTCTACAAAGTCAGTGTGATGAAAGAATTATTCCTTTATTTGTATGGAAAAGTTCATTGCTGTTTGTTTTTACAGCAGCCTCAAAAAAAAAAAAGAAAAACCTTTGGACTTGAGTTACACTTAAACGTGTCTGAATGTCACTGCATTAGACACAAAATATCAAATCTGCACAATTTTGCAAGTTTTTTTTATTTTTTTACTTTATAACTTGATGGAGTTGTAGTTCATTAAATTAACTATGAACATGTTTCACTAACGTTTAACAAACACAAACACTTTGCACTGTAAAAAATATGAATTTTTCAAAGTACATTATTGGAGTGTGTTTTATCAGAAAATATTATTATCGTTTTTTTAATTAATTGAAATTTGCTATCAATTTTCTGTAAATTCCAGTGTCCCTATCTATCTATCTGACTATCTATCTATCTATCTATCTATCTATATTTGTTTGTTTGTTTGTTTATTTATCATTTTAGTTTTTTGTGTCCTTATGTATTTATTTAAAAAAAAAAAAATTTATCATTCTAAACCGACTTATTTAACATGTTCAATTTAAATAGCACTTGATTAGATATTTTATTATCTGACTCAGTGATGTATATTCAGTTTAACTGTTTAAGCGTGCAGATGAGTTTTGGGGTGACTGTATGGCTTTGTTATTCTTTGGGCCACAGTTGTCTTGGATTTCTCCCGTGATGCCCATCTCGTAGCTTTATAAAGATGGCATTGCACTGACCAGTCTGGGGTGGGACTGAGCTAGTTAACCGAGTTAACGGCTGCAGCTCTGCTAAGTTTAGGTTTTTGGAGGGTTTAGGGGGTTTGTGCACTAACTCCAGAGTCCTGCTCTCCGTGTTGTGTTTTTTAGAAGCCAGCCTTCCCGGAGAAGACATTGTTGATGACAATAAGAGCTGCCATTGTGAGTTTGTCCCTCAGGATTTAACGCCGGGACTAAAAGTTACCATCAGGGCCGTGTGGTAAGCAAAGATGAGACAGGCAGCATCCATCAGACGTGTAATATTATTGATAAAACTACAGCAGTATGCATCACATAATATTACCTCATAAACTCAGTCTTTCCTGAATGTAAGTTCCTAAACGTGTTACATTCAGTCTTTCGAATCCTTCGTTACATTCACACTTTCATTGCTCAGATCACGCCAGCGACTCTTATGCATGAGATATTTTGAATATTGAAGGTCAGTATCAAGCCTGAAAAAATAGATGAGTGTCTGGGACTCAGTTATGAAGTAAATCTCACAAAAACATATTCAGGTCATGTTTTACTGTAAGATTAAAAGTAAAAATCCTAATGGTTCAGGGTTATTGTAGTTTACTAAAACTAAAACCATAAAATAAAATTGTGTTTACTTAAATAAAATCAAATAATAATATGTTTTATTATTTTAATTATTGTAACTTATTTTATATATTTTGTTCATTTTTTTTTTTTAATTATTTAATTTTTTTTCTCACTTTAGCTAAAATAACTAAAACTAAAGCTGAAATGAAAATTTATAAAAATTATAGACAGAAAAAAAAGACAAACCACAACAAAATTATTAAAACTTTAATTGAAATTAAAATGAAAACGGGAAATAAAACTAATTCAAAGTATTAGTGAAAACTGTAATAACATCTCAGCCATACTAAAATCACACTGTGTCCAAGAAATACATGTTATTTTAGTATCATTGTGATACTATTATATTTTTTTATGAATACTTTGAAATAGTTTTATCATTTAGTCAGTTTGCTGTGTGCTTTTGTCATTTTTATTAGTTTTTGTTTTATTTAAATATGGCTTAACGTAACCATATAACCATATAGTTTTTATTTATTTTCATTTCAGTTTTTTTTTAGTACATAAAATTAAACTAAATGAAAATGAGAAATGTTGCCTTGGCAACTAGATGAAATACAATAAGTACAATTAAAAAAAAAAAATCTTAATTATTTTATTTTATTTCAAGTAATAAACTAGCCAAAATAAAATTATTATTTTTTAATATTTTATTTCAGTTATTTATTTATTTTTATTAATATTTTTCATGGTTTTAGTACTATAAATAGGTCATCAAAACATATTTTCTTGTTTCTTTCTTTATATGTTTGGGTGAAATATGACCTGGACATGTTCTCGAAAGCTTCACTGAGATTCAGCCTTTGTTTTTGTGTAAAGTGTTAAGCGTGATAATGTGTGTGATTGTTTGTCCCTGCAGCATCATGAGGTTCATGGTGTCCAAGCGAAAGTTTAAAGAGAGTCTGCGGCCGTATGACGTGATGGACGTGATCGAGCAGTATTCGGCCGGACATCTGGACATGTTGGCGCGCATTAAAAATCTGCAGTCCAGGCAAGAACAGATGCAGCTGCTTCTCTTTCTCTCTTCTCTTCACACACTCCTCACACCATCGGACATGACAGTGACGCTTGACTCATACACACTAGACAGTGTTGTGTTGTGTTGGATCTTTTGATGTTCATATTCGTCAGAATCAGAACTATCCTCACATGTATGTATATGATACCCAAAAAAACACCTCGAACGCTGTCTTCAGTGGCTTTTGTGTGTTTAAATGCCTCCTCTGAGAAACATTATCTACATTTTGCTTCTCTTTCTCTCTTCTCTTCACACACTCCTCACACCATCGGACATGACAGTGACGCTTGACTCATACACACTAGACAGTGTTGTGTTGTGTTGTGTTTTGCATGGCTCAGTTTCCTAAACGTCTCTCACTGGTTTGATGTTCATATTCGTCAGAATCAGAACTATCCTCACATGTATGTATATGATACCCAAAAAACCGCCTCGAACGCTGTCTTCAGTGGCTTTTGTGTGTTTAAATGCCTCCACTGAGAAACATTATCTACATTTTCATTAATTAAGATACAATATCATGATATTTTAGCAGTTCAGAGCAGCATATGTGGGTCAATAATGACGTGGGACTCATTTTTATTAAATTAATCTATTAATTTATTCGAAAGCAGTTCATACTCTGCAAAACTTTGATGTAGGATTTAGTTTTAAACTATTTTCACTCAGAAATTGATGGTAAATTTCACAAATACTAAGAAATGGCAAGTAAAACATTGAATTAAATGTGAAATTTTGAAAATGTGATATTCACGATTCAGAAATTCATATTTGTACAAATATTTTTACCTTGTAAAATGTTTAAAGAAATGTTTAAGATTTGTACACTCAAGATGGAATGAAAATATGTTATCATATTTTATTAGATAAAATATTTAAGCATGAAAGATTTTGTTATTTTATGGCATGTAAAAAATTATAAATTTTTCACATATTCAAATCTGACATTAAAACAGCAAAAAAAGATGTAAAGATGTAAGATATAATAAAATTACTCTGTTTAATTAGATAAAATGTTTAAATATGAAATATTTTATTATTTATCAATGCATATTAAATACATTTTAAATTATAATATTTGTTTAATATTTTTAAGTTATTAAGTGAAAGTTTGGTTGAAAATAATATTAAAGCTTCTCAATGCCATATGAAACCAACACATTTTTATACATATGTTTAAAAATATGTTTCATATAATGAAAAATGTAAAATATTTTAGGTAAAATATTTAAAGCTGAAATATTTTGTTGTTTTATTCTAAATTTTATTATTATTTATTAATATTTTTCTTGCTATTTTTGGAGTTATTAAATGAATGTTTGTTTGAAAAAAATAGTATTAAAGTTCATCAAAACCATCAGTTCTGTTCATAAAAAACAGCACTTTTCAGTGTACATAAACTGCTGCCTACCTACTAATCCAACACAGTCACATCCGTCTTGTTTAGGCCAGTCCTCCTGTATGTATGAATAAATGAATGTGGTTATGATTTCACATGTGAATATATTCCTGCTTATAAACAAGCACACATTTTGAAAACATTACTGGCATACTTTCATCACATGTTGATCGCTGACAGCAAGTGCGAGAGCTTTTCACGGTGATGTCTGGAATATATTTGGAGGGTTTGTTGTTGTTGGTTTGGGCTTGCGCCGCTCGTGTCACGTCACTCTGCATTCTGCTGTCCTCTACTCTATTTGCTTTGCCAGGTTAGATATGATATTGGGTCCTCCGAGTCCCGGCACCCCTCGCCAAAAGAAGTGTTCAACCAAAGGAACCACAGAGTCGCCCCAGTTGTCTTCTAGGTTAGGATCCCGGGCCTGCGTTAGATCTCTCTCGCTCCAGAGACCAACCAAGAAACCTGCTTCTGCTTCAGACTACATGGCTAGTAGAAACTAAGCTACCTAAACAAACTAGTCTATTATTGCATCGAGCCTAAACGCTCTGGGCGGCTTCTTTCTAATTCACTTCATGACCTTTGTTTGCTGTGACCGAAGTGTTTTGTAGAGACGTTTAGTCGAGGGGAACCAAATACCACATTTCGGTGAGTTACTAGTCATGTAGCTGAACTAAAACTGGTTAAGCTAGTTTGCCTGCACCGCGCTGTGTGGAAATGAAGAGTTGCGGCAGCAAGAAGCAGCAAATGGAGATGCACATGTCTGAATGGTCTTTCCTTTCATTTAGCATCACTGTTTTTGCGTATGCATGTCAGCATGGCGTTTTTCCGTCATGCCACTTTTTTTTTTTTTTCTGTTTTCTTCATGCTTGATTCCCACCGATCTTCTTTTTAAAGCAGCCAAACAACACATCTGATGGTGTCTCGGATCAGACGCACCCCTGCTAGTGTAGTCCATCAGCTTTGGATAATGTGTCAAATGTGCGGCTAATACTGCAATATGCAACTAAAGACGTGATTTCACTTCGACACATTGTTCAAAAGTGGCAAATATCAATAGAAAACATCCGTCTGGAGGGCTTGACTCTTTCTGTCCAATCATATGTGTCTGTCTGTGTGTGGACACGCCCCCTCATTATCATATCCCTCCCTCTGCATGCATTCATTGATTTCCCACACTGCTTTGTGCTTTAAGATAGAATACATGGTGTATTATTTCTTAAAGTTAAGAATTTATACATCTTTCATATGAATTTAGTTTTATTCTAACAGTTCAGACATATAGCAATGTGATAAATGAACATGTAAGAGAAATATTGATTTGATGCATTTAGAACAAAACAAAATATATCAAATAAATGTTATTGTAAATATACAGTATATATAAAATGATATTAATATTAACTATATATATATATAAATATAATTTTTAAATCTACAATTTAAAAGAAAATCTGGTGTATTTAGCAACTGGTGAATATGAAAAAATTTGTTTTTGTGTTTATCCATGTTTAATGTGTAATGAATCACTGGTTGACCTATTTTCTTCTAAAACTGATTTTTTTTTTTTTTTGCAGAAGACTGATGAGTTATGAAGTTTTTATTCTAGATGTTTCATGTCTTTAATTGATTGTTAGAGTGGATCAGATTGTTGGTCGGGGTCCTTCAGTAACAGACAAGGATCGTCCTAAAGGAACCACGGATGCAGAACTGCCAGAAGATCCCAGTATGATGGGACGGCTTGGGAAAGTGGAGAAACAGGTCAGTCACACACCTGTTTGCGGACTGATTGATGTATACATTATTTAATGTTCAATTTTGCTACTGATATAAAGAAAGAAATACATTTAAAATGATTCTTTATATGACATTTTGAATTCACTCATGGGAGAAACTTAATTTTAAAAGCATTTTATAGAACATTAAGAGGTTGTTTCCAAAATAAGTTATATAAAAATAAAAACTAAATACAGTATCGTATGTTTAAACTTGTTTCTGAATAACTCAATTCTTGAACTAATTAAGTAAATTTGTCTAATATGACAATGTCAAAAAATGTGATCTTATTCTTTTTTTTTTCTTCATCAAAACATATTGGTAATGAGAATTATACTATTACATTACATTAACGTATACAAACAAATTTGTTTTTCCTTTTTTTTTAAATGTTAAGTATAATGTTTATTTATCAAATTATTTTTAATCATAATTATAGTGTGTTGTTATATATTGAATAATGTTTTTAATTATAACTCAAATGTGTATTTTATGTATTAAATAGTTTTAATAATAACCAAAATGTTTATTTTATGTATTGAATTATTTTATCATAACTTGAAGGTTTAATTTATGCATTAAATACATTTTAATCATAATTAATATGTTAATGTATTGAATTAACTTTTAATCATAACAAAAATGTTTATGTATTAAAATTGCTTCCATTTTTATTTATTTTTTTTACATTATTTGGACACTCTTTGAGAGATTTACTAGGCTATTATATTTATTATATATCCTAAACAGGGCAAATTAGCGCGAGGGCGCAATTCAAAAACAGCGCCGATGAGCGTGGAAATTCCTGCGGGTGATTTACTAACAACGTGCAAATTAAAGGGGTCATATGATGCGATTTCATGTTTTCCTTTCTCTTTGGAGTGTTACAAGCTGTTCGTGCATAGATAAGATCCCTGAAGTTGCAAAGACTAAAGTCTCAAACCCAAAGAGAGATTCTTTATAAAAGTTAAGACTGGTCCACGCCCCCCTAAAACGGCTCGTTCTAACACGCCCCCACATATCTACATCACTGTGTGGGAAGATTTGCATAACACCGCACAAATGTTCACGCAAAGAAAGAAGGCATAACTTTGATTCTTCTGACTCACAGACTGTAAGTATGTTTTCATATTTAAAGGATTTGCCACTGATGATTCAAACGCGAGTTTTGAGAAGTGTAGAGTAGCGCTTGTTGTTTGTCGTTTCTCCGATCACAAATGCAGATATGGTTTTATGTTTACGCAGCGCGATACACAACGCGTAAAAAGACAGTATAAGTCATTATAATCA